GTCTAGAATTAGGGAATGGTTGTGGTTTCCTATATTATGAATATACAAAAAAACCTATGGACTGTACACCTTTGAAAAGTGAGTTTATCTTAGGACTTTACACCAAACACTGCATAAATTACAGGTATTTCTAGACCCAATCGGGGCTGAAAATTGCAAGCAGACAGGTTCACTTTGTACATTTCTTCCTCTGCTTACATTTGGGTAGACATGCAGGACATAAAACTTCGTAAGTGCTTTCCGATTAGCAGGAGTGAAGCAAAGGTTAGCTGAGCTGATCTCAACCTCAAGTTTCCACAGACATTACTTTTTCATTTTCTGTTCCTTCTAAATTAGAAAACAGTATCTCACAGGTAAAACAAGCATTAAATGTTTTCATGGTTTTTAAGCACTGTGACTTCCTACAAGTATACACCTAAACGTATTTACTGAACTCTAAAGAACCTTAATAGGTCCAAAAAATGTTGGAGGAAGGTTGAACTGTGTTTTCAAATGCTAATTTCAGTGCCCTGAGATACGGCTACCACCCGGCTGTGAAAGGCTCTAATAAAAGTGGCATAAAATATCAAGTAGTCTAGACAAACTGAGGAAGGGATCAAAAGGATTTATTTCAGAGTATTCAGGAAGTGGGAGGAGGCTGCACTTGAGGGAGAGACCTGCAAGACAAAGCCAAGGACAGGACAAGGCAGAAGGGGAAAATCAAAGTACTAAGAAATCTGAATACAGAGGCAATAGTAGGAGACAACTGAAGAGGCAGGGCAAGGCTGGCTGGGAGCTTATGGATAGCACTCTTAAGAAAATTTAGAACTTGTCAAATGGAATTCTAATTACCTAAGTACTCAGTGGCTGGTAAAGTTTCAAAGCCATTTTCTGTCATTACATACTTGGGCACACATTTGTAGTAATATGCTTCCCCTTAGTTCTCACTAAACAAAAATGAAAGAATCTTCTTCCTGAGGTTAGATCTAAAGGATGGCCATTTGACTAACTGATTAAAGATCTATTTGAGTTAAAAGAATGACTTCAATATTCTCTCCAGTTGATGATCTACCATCACTTCATTTTTGCCTAATTTCCAAACTGTAACTACACTTAAAAATTTTGCCATGTTCTGCCTTATAACTGTGACGACATCACACACTGCTGAAGACTGTTCACTTACCAAGTCCACCAGCAGCAATGTTTGCTGACATCCAAGAGTGAAGAAATAACCAACTACTTTCTTTAGTCTCACCATAGGACGGATCTGGTCACCACAACTGAGACAACAGCTGAGAGGTTTTAAAGGCTGAGCTGGCTCTTAAGTTACAGAAAAGTGCAGTGTCTACAGGAGAGAGATCGCTCAGTTGCTCAAGTATTCAAACATGAGATCTGGAGCTTGATCTCCAGCAGGCATGGGAAACCTGGACACTGTCCTCTAACCCACAGCTGGAAAGGCAGAGAAGAGGGTCACTGGTGCTTGCTTGACAACCATTACAGCTGAATCAGAAGGCTCCAGGTTCAATGAGAGACTGTATTTCAAAAATTAAGGAGAGAAACAACACCGACCTCTGGACAGATACACACACACACACACACACTCACACTCACACACACACACACACACACTCTCTCTCTCTCTCTCTCTCAAATAGAATACCAAGTCGTCCAAAAACTACTTAGAACAGTCTTTGCCGTACTCCCTGATCTGAAAAAACTGAGGTAATTCTATCTAGTAAGCTTCCCTTCTCCATGGTTTTACTTTTTATGGGGTCAGTCAACCATTCAAGAACAATCGTAAAGGAAAAAAGGTACACACTATATTCACACAGCTTACTACAGGATATTGTCTAAATGTTCTATCATAAAAAAAGTTCATTTTACTATTTCTATTTTTATTTCTTATATTTCTATGTTGCATCTGGGCAGTGGTGCCAGCAACATACACCTTTAAGCCCAGCACTTGGGAGGCAGGTGCTGAGTTTGAGGCCAACCTGGACTTGACAGATGAGGGAAAAACCATCCAAACAAACAAAAACTTCATTTTTGTTCCCTTTCATATTCTGTATGGTTTTTACTTTTTAATTTATTTTTTATGTGTAAGGATGTTTTGTCTACATAGATTATCTGTGCCTACCTGGTCCTCTCAGAGGCAAGAAGATATCCTGGAACTGAAGTTATAGTAGGTTGTGAGCCACTGTGTCCAGAGGAGCAATCAGTGCTCTTAACTCTCTTAACCATTTTTACAACCTCTTTATTTAATGTAATCTATTTTTTAAAAATCTTTTTCTTTTTTAAAAAAGGGTCTCAATGTGTCATCCTGGCTGGCCTCAAACTCACCAAGATCCACCTGCCTCTGCCTCCCAGAGGCTGAGTAAGGGTGGTCCACCCACGTTCAGCCTTTTTGATTTTGTTTTGTTTTTCGTTTTTTAAGACAGGGTTTCTCTGTATAACTGTAGATCTGACTATCCTGGACTCACTTTGTAGACCAGGCTGGCCTCAAAATCACAGCGATCCACCTGCCTCTGCTTCCCTGAGTGTTGAGAGTAAAGGTGTGAGCCAACACACCTGGGCCTTTTTTATTTTCTCATTGTATGTAGAAATAAGCAAATAGATAGAATGAACGAATAACCAAACTGAACAACCAAATGAACAAAACGAATCAGGTTTTATGCCAGAACTAATCCCTAGAGAATGCTACTTTGAGAACCAATAAAAGCAAAAACGGGAAAAAAGCAAAACCCCTCTAGAACCCAAGGGTGTACTTAAAATTATTATACTTTAACAAAGTAGCCTAAACATTTGTTATATACGAAAAGGTAGCTTATAAGAAAAACTACCACCAGTATTTGAAACCATATGAACAATGGTCAGAGGAGCATAATATTTAGGACTGAACCAAAGAAAATGTCTAATGTAGAAATATCATTTCAGTATAAAGAGGCTTAATTAATAGTTTTCAAGCAACGTTTCCTATATATGAATTATTGATAGTTTCATCAAAGTATCAAGGTAAAGGAAGAACATGGTATAAAACACAAAATAAAGTATTTACATGCAAACCCAAGTTTGCTCTTCAAAACCTACATTAATTAAAAAAAAAAAAAAAAAAAAAGCAGATACAGCAGTTTATGTTTGTAATCTAAGTGCTGGGGAGGAGAATCCCTAAGGTTCGTTGCCAGCTGGTGTAGCCTAATTAGGGAATCTCAATGTAACACACTTTCTCACGAAAACAAGGTAAAAGCTGTGTTTGACTGTGTCTTCCGCACCCATGTGCACAGACATGCACCAGCACCATAAATGTGCACTAGACTTAGTTGATTTCCTATCGACAAGTTGGTGCTAACATTTTTTTCCTTCAGAAAAGAGATTTCATCTGCTGAGGTAGAAAATTAGTTAACTCAATGAAAATAGGTTTAATGATTACAATTGTTATAGACTTAAGAGTTAGTGCAGCAAAGGTGAAAAATCCACTCCAGTCTAAAAACCAGGCATTCCAGGCATGGTAACATAACCCCAGCAACCCTACCAAGAGGGAGGAGGGTTACCTGACCCTAGGAGTCCAAGACCAGAATGAGCAACACTGTGACACTTAACTGTCCCCTCCCACCTCCCTCATCTCACACTCACTCTCTTTCTCTATCTCACATACTTTCTCTCACACACACAGACACCACTCCATACACATAAGGAACATAAAATAGCAAAGGCATCTTTGAAAAGATATTCTTTTCAAAGATATACAAGAGATCAATAAGCATCTGAAAAGATGCTTACACAAACACCATTAGTCATCAGAGACTAATACCTAGAATGATAGCATTTCACATTCATTAGGATGAATTATCAACAGAAAAAACACCAGGCATGGTGGCACAACTTTTATTCCAAACACCTGGGAGACAGAGATAGGCAGATCTCTTTGAGTTCAAGGCCAGCCTGATCTTCATAGCAAGTTCAAGGCTAGAAGTACATAGTGAGACCCCCGTCTCAAAAAACAAAACAAAACATACCACAAAGAGTATGGTAAGGCTCCTAAGACCTAGCAATTTCACTTTTGGTATAACAAAGTGCGAACTCAAAGTATCTGTATTAGTATATTCTCAGTAGGGTCATTCAAAACAGCCTTAAGGAGAAAGTAACTCAAATGGCCACTGATGTATAAACAGGTAGACACAATGTGGTACCTACACTGTAGACTAGTCTGCACTCTTTGTTGTTGTTGTTTCAGACAGGGTTCCTCTGTGTAGCCTTACCTGCCTTGGAACTTGCTCTGTAGAGCAGGCTGGCCTTGAACCCAGAGCTCAAGAGGTCCACTGTCTCTGCCTCCTGAGTGCTGGGATTAAAGGCGTGTGCCACCAACCACCCGGCCTATTATTCATTCTCAAAGAAGAAGGAGACCATCGTAATATACATATGGACACTTGAAAACAGTATATTAAGTCAAATAAGGGAAAGTATGTTTTGATCCTTCTGATAGGAGGTTCCCAGTAATCAAATTCATAAAGAGAGAAAGCAGATTCCTAGGCTGCAGTTGGAGAAAACGGGACATTTAGTAGGAAGGATAATGTAATATGTACAGAATGCCACAGACCTATCAATTTAAAAATGTTTAGAATTGTCAAATCTGTGATATTATCTTACCACACCCCAACCAATAAGTTCAACAACATCTTAGCATTCTCTTAGGGCTTTGGTTTGCTTCAGGTGTTCTAGAACTCAGCATATCCTGCCTCGAGCTCCCAAGTGTTGAGCGTATAGGTGAGTGTCACTATACCTGATAAGATTCTTAAAAGAGTAAGACACTGTGTTAATAATCTGAACATACTTCATTTATAGTTTTTAAATTTCAGAAAGAGCAAACTTTTTTTTTGCCTCTTTTTCTTTCTTTTGAAAAAGTCTTTTATAGGAAGGCTCTTAAATTTTTAAGTTGAGATAAAAATTCAGGATTATATAGGTAGGTGGAAGAGTAGAACATAGAAGAGATTACAAAACAAAGCAAAAGAAAACACACAAAAAACCTTGTTTAGGTGTTTCTTCCTCTTTTTTAGTCTCCTCATCCTCTAGGGTGGGGCTTTCCCGGGAAGAGTCTTCCTGTTGGCTAGAGTGTTTCAATAGTACAGGATCAATTTGTGCTTTCAGGAGTGCAAGAGTCTCAGCCAATTCGTTTCGATTTCTAAACAAGGGAAAAAATAAGACAGCATAAAAAATCTTTCTGAGTCTAGTGAACTTTGTGAGTAGCACCTACTAGAAATTTAAACAGGAGGGAAGAGACAGTGAAAAACGTCAAATGCCTAGAAGCAGTCCTAACAAACCCCAGATTCTAAAACTAAGTATTTAAGAACACACATTAAAAGTTACTGTTTGTCAAACAGAAATTTTATTCTTTTTACTCCATAGATGGAAACAAAGGTAGGTATAACATTAAACAAGTGAAAGGGTGAGCATTTTTTAAGTATTCTATATCTTTAAGGAGATCAGTGTAAACCTTGCTTATGGTTTTTTTTAACAATTCGAATTTCTGCATATGGTATATCTTGTGTCTTTCTTAATCACCTTCCACATTATTATTATTTATAAAAGTCCAGGGATCCACCTGTCTCTACTCTTTCCCCCACGCTATACCAATGCTGGGGTTACAGACACCTGTCATGGTGGCCGCTTCTACATGGATGCTGGGAATCAGAACTCCAGGCCTCACACTTGGGTAGGAAGCATTTCCCCGCTCAGCCATGCCCCCAGACTCTACTCGTGTATACCTATAGATACAATCTGTAGATAACCTCATGCAACATTTCCAATAACTTACTGTATTAAATACAGTGTACATTGTACTGTCAGGAAGCAAAGTTATTACTATCTCCACCAACCATGTAGACGGACAATCTACAGTTCTCAGGAATCAACACTATTCTTGTCTGAGTTTATATACTACCAGTAAGTAACTACTTTCTTATACTTATTCACATATTAAGTAGTTGGAGTATCTTCACTACTAAAATGGTCTCAGAAAAACTGGGCAGAGGAAGAACTCCAGAATGCTGGTATCAGCTGTTTAACAGCAACCAATGGCAGGTTTTCAGTCTCTACCTGTGGTGCTGTTCTATGGTTAACAGGCTACTGTAGGGCTGGAGGCATGGCTCAGCCATTAAAGACTAGGCTCACAACCAAAAAAGGCAAAAAGCTATTGTACAGTTTCAGTTTAAATATATTTTTGAATCAGGGTCTTAGTGTATAGCTCAGGTTGATCTCAATCTCTCAATCATTCTTAGTATCGCATATCCTCACATGTGCTGTCACATATGGCTGGGCTTTCTATCTTTAAGGTGAAAAGAAAACTTCAAGCAATTGAGAGATCTAGAAATGTGTCCCTTCGCAATAAGAAGATATTCTGCTGGACTGCTATTTAAATATTCCCGCAGATACAAGTACTGGGGCCTGACTAACAGCTGATGGGCTGGGTTAATTTCTTAAAATAATACAATGGCATTATGGGGGTATAAGGAACAGGTAGAGCTTATTTCAAGTTAGCGGGTCACTGAGTGTGTATTTGAGGGCTATGTATCTTGGACTTCCTGCATCTTTTTCTTCTGCACACTGTCCTGAATGAGGAAGACAGCCTGCCCACAGTCTCACTCCACCATGGTGCCCTCACCACAGCCCCAAACAGGTTAACTGACCAAGATGGACTGCAGCTACCTCCAAAATCATGAACTAAAGCAATTCTTTTCTTTGTTATGTCTCATGACAAAAGACCAAAAAAAAAAAAAAAAAAAGTTTCCCAAGTGCTGGTGAGATGGCTACTCAGTCAAGCGCTTGTCAGTGCTTGCTTTACAAGCACTTGACTGAGTGGTAAGAAAGGGTCCAGATTTGCAATATGGACATAAAATTCTATTAAGAAAAATAGTTTTAAAATAAACAAGAAAAGATGTGTTTAGTGACCTTTGCCTTTTTGTTAGTGTAAGAGCAGACTGGTAAAAATGAACTCACAGCTATTTTATATTCTATGCATGTGCTGCTTTAGCTAGCACAAGCCAGCAGGTAGGCTTGCCCGGTGAAATTATCATCAGTAAGACATGGACAAGTTCACCAAGAATGCCGATTCCTTATGATCAGATCTTTAATCAATTCAAATTTTCAGGCGTTAATTCTTGGTCTTTCCTTATGCTTCTATAATCAGCATCAAATACACAGCAAGACCTTCATTTTTAGCTTTATGCATCATTTTTCATTTGATTAACTTCTCTTTTATCATTTATCAGCACAGAGCTTTGACAGTTCATCCTTGTACCATTAGACATACTGTCATTCCAACACCAGCTTTTAGAAGCGTGTTGTATACCAATGTCCAGTTTCTCTAACAACCTTCTGTGCCAAAGATGAACATAAATATTTCTTCTTTCTTATATCATTGTTGCCCACACAATGTCTGTTGGACTTATTGATTCAACAATAACTGTGGATCCCAAAGCATAAAGTTAAAAATACCAAGTAAGGCAGGTAGATCTTAGCCTTGTGGAGCAGCACATGAAGTTGCCACTGGTATGTGTGAATTGCACAAATGTCGTGTTTTACTTTGTGGATATTACTGTGCTAGACTCTAAAGGGGACTAGAAGGGTGTGCGGGAGTCCCCTCCTTGGGATGCTGAATATACTGTTATGTTGAATATGTACGGTTTTTGACAGCACCAATCACGTGAAGCCAAAGTTGGAATTTTCCCCTCAACACACCATATTGTTAAAACAAGTTTTAGATTCTAGATTATTTTCCATTTTAGATTTAATTTATTCATTTATTACAATTTATTCACTTTGTATCCCCACTGTAGCCCCCTCCCTCGTCTCCTCATAGTCCCACCCACACCCTCCCTTTTCTCCCCCTTCTCCTCCTATGGCCTTTCCCTAGTACCCTGACAGGGGAGGTCCTCCTCTTCTTCATTCTGACCATAGCTTATCAGGTCTCATCAGGACTGGCTGCATCATCTACCTCTGTGGCCTGGTAAGGCTGTACACCCCCAGGGGGAGGTGATCAAAGAGCCGGCTACTGAGTTCATCTCAGAGACAGTCCCTGTTCCCATTACTAGGGAAACCACTTGGAAACCGAGCAGCCTACGGGCTTCCTCTAAGCAGGTCGAGGTCCCCTCCATGCATGGTCCTTGGCTAGAGTATCAGTCCCTGCAGCACCCCTATGCCCAGGTTTTTTGGCTCTGTTGGTCTCCTTATGAAGCTCCTGTCCCCTCCAGGTCTTTCTATCTCCCTCTTCTTCCATAAGGTTTCCAGAATTTTGCTCAAAGTTTGGCTCTGAGTCTTAGTATCTCCTTCGATACCCAGGTGGATACAGTCTTTCAGAGGTCCCCTGTGGAAGGCTCCTGTCCTGCTCCTTGTCTTCTCCTTCTTCTGATGTCTGTCCTGTTTGCCCTTCTGAGTGAGGATGAACCATCTTCCCTGGGGTCCTCCTTGTTTTTTGGCTTCTTTAGGACTATAGATTTTAGTATGTTTATCCTATATTATATGGCTTATGCCCACTTGTAAATATCCAAGATGGTGGCAGCGTCCATGCAGTGTATTTGAACAGCAGCTCAGCAGTGAGAGCCGGGAGACCGGCAAGGCTGTACTGTGGACCTCTAAACCGCGACATCCATGGAGATACTCGAAGGCCCATCTACAGGCCACCTAGCTAATACCAGAAAAAATTTCTAGGCTCCTGCCCAGCACTGCCACAGCCCTAGGCCACCGCCTAATCCTGCCATATGTGGACACCTCCATTTTAGATTTTATACACATACAAGAAATAAAAGATCAATCTGTTGTTAGTATATCAAATTGGTCTCCCAGACAAAGAAAGAAAATTGTCACTAGAAGAAATCAATTAAATGTTAAAAATGACAACTATTTATCAAGTGTGAAAACACATATTTATACATGTAATATGAACTTAAACAGTAAAGAATTAACTGTTGTTCTGTAAACCAGGCCTTGAACTAAAAGATCTGCCTGGCTGTCTCCACAGTGCTGGATTAAAGGTGTGTTCCACCACCACCCATCAAGAGTGTAGAATTTAACTGTCTAATACAATTTCAGATTCTTACGTGAGAATGATATCAATTTACAGAAAAAAATTAAAACCAACTATTTGTACATAATTTTTCACTACAATCTTATTTCCTACTGGTCATACTAGTTTGCCTCTGACCAAGAATATGTGAACGTGTAAAGTTATTGCTTTTTCTTATAACACAATTCTGTATGTAGCATTTGCCTCTACCCAGGTGCTATTTTCTGGAGTCATATTGGGTGCTGTGAAGCATATTGAAGAAGTTATTCACTGAACGGATCCATTTAATGTGCTTATGCTTCTCTAAATACCAAAGGAAATTTTTTTTTAAATTAAGAAAAACTCCCTAAGATGCTTTAAACCTGAGTAATGCTTTGAAAAACAAGTCTAATGCAGACACATTAGAGTATAAAAACAGAAATCTATACATAGGTATTTCCTAGTTTGAGCTAATTGTGCTAGAACATTAAATATACTAAATTTAAACTAGTCAGAGAGAATATATACTGTCTCTGTGTATGTATATTTATCATATACAAATTTAACTGTATTTAAAAGTTTTTTAATTTATTTATTATGTATGTGTGTTTGCTGCCTCCCAAGTTACTGGAATTGTAAGGCAGACACCACTACACCTTGCTCAGGACCCACCTTTTTTTTTTTTTGTTTTTCAGAACAGGGTTTCTCTCTGTCACCTCCTACACTTGCTTTGTAGACCAGGGTAGCCATGAACTCATGGAGATCCATCTGTATCTGCCTCCCTGAGATCTGAAATTAAAGGTGTACTCTAGCGTACTCAACTAGGGCCCACCAACTTCTTTTTATTTATTCATTCATTCATTCATTTCGGTTTTTAGACACAGGGTTTCTCTGTGTAGCCTTCGCTGTCCTGGACTTCCTTTGTAGACCAGGCTGGCCTCGAACTCAAAGAGATCCACCTGCCTCTGCCTCCCTGAGTACCGGATTACAGGTCACTGTGCCTGACTGGGGCCACATTCTTAGTCATCATGTTATTAATAACACAGCCAGTGTCCTGACTGCCCTTGCAGAACACTAGAGCTCACTTCCCAGTCTCGATTTATCAGGCAGCTCACAACAAACTAATTGTACTTTCAGGGATC